GGACCAAGTAAATGAGTGGTAGCTGCGACGCAATCTAGTCACAGCAACCTGTAATGTAGACGCTGTGTACGAATAAAAGAATACAATAAAGATTTATTTTTAGATCTTTTTAGTTGTTGGGGTTGGGCGGGAGAGGGGGGTTACATATATATCTTGGAAAATGGTCTTAAATTTTAGCTCTAAGTATTTTGCCACTTTTTATTTTCATTTCTTTTACTGTATAGAAAAGCCACTGTTGTTGCCATGAAGTAATGAGAAGCAGCCCATTAGCAAGCCGAATAAAGCGTTTTAGCACGTTCGTTTTAGCCCGTCGCTAAGATAAACGCATGCCAGGCATGCTGCCGAGCATTCAACCATGGAAATGCGCCCCACCAGCCCCGATCTCCTTCCCGGACTTGGTCGACTTTGTTAATGCAAAAGAATGATGTCACTTTAACCAAAAGCAAGTCAGCCGTCTGATGCAACTAGATGACACCGAGGATGTACTTGTTGCATGTGGATTGCGAGGGCTTAAATTGGCTTACATATACATTATCTTCATCATATTCGGGATGAAACTTCCTATGTTGAAGGCTTGGTAGTAAGTGATTTTGTTGATATACAGATCTGTGGAAATCGCAAACCGTGACGGATAAACTTCTTCGATTTTGTCTTGCGAACCACAGCAGCACAAACTCTTCACAATCATGGATTTGTGGGAAGACTCTAAAACTACGATGTTGTTGATGGTATCTGTGCTGACATTCATTGTAACATGGTGGTGGACAAGGAAGAAAAAGAAGGTATAATATCTTGAGTTGGTGATATTCATGTTTGCCAATTATTGGGGCCCACATACAGTAGTAGTTGTAGTAGTACCAGCTGATCTTGGTCATATGCCAATACAAGCCAGTTCCCGATGCAGTAGTTGAGAAGCCAAACACAATGTAAAAATAAATCTGATGCTCGTGGGACAACGAACACGTTTTGCTTGCAAAATCGAACAACTAGGACCACCTATAGGTATGTGCGGTCGCTAGGCATAATTGGTTCCTTGTCAGGAAAGATATACATGTACACGCGGGCAAGATCAGACAATAAACCAACAATTTATCACATAAACAAAATCTAAAATCTTCCCTTTCTAATGGATTTTTACGGCCCAGTATACATTTACGAGTATTTATGGAGCAGTGTCATTTTATGCAGATTAGTGCAGAATATATACGTTTTTAATTCGTTTTTGCTAAGTAGCCTCTGTTGCAATCTGGTCATAACGGTAGGAGGAAAGAGAGAATCGCCCTGTGAGGCCCATAGAAGCAAGCTTGTAAAAACTCAGCACATTATAATGTACATCCCTGACAATATCATATGAAAAATTCAGAGTCGATGGATGGGTTGTGGCAAAAAGAAAGTTCCCCTTTTCCTGATGTCCAGATCTGCATATAAAACATTTTTGGAAAAAAAAATGTGTGTACATTTCGAAAAAAAAAAAACGCTACCTTAATCTGATTATTGTTTCTCTCATTTTCAATTCTTACAGCCAAAGAATCTTCCCCCAGGACCAAAGTCCTATCCTCTTGTGGGAACAATCTTCAGTTCTTCAAGTGATTTAGATTTTCTCAAAACCTTTGGCCGGCTGGCTAAGGAACACGGACCTGTGGTGAGGCTTGAGCTAGGATTCACAAAGATTTATGCCATCGTGCTGAATACGCCCGAAATGGTTAAGGAGGCGTTCGTTAAACAGGGGCATGTTTTCAGTCATCGTCCAAGGATGTACCTGGATAAGATTTTTAATGAGCGCGATGGTAATGATTTTTTAATATCACAAATATTGTAGCAGTACACCAGTTCTTTTTACGAGAGCCTGTCAAATAAAATGGACAGTCTCATTTTTATAATTTGCGGCTTTACTATTAATTATGGTTAAGAAGGAACCAGAATTTAAATAAAGCATGGTGGGTTTTAAGAGAGTAATTTTTTCAATTTATTTTACCAGCTAGTAATAATTCGTTTGGGTTCCTAGAAACTTTAAAACTTCTTGTTGCCTATAAAATGAAATGTACCATTTGAAAACAGGGCGTTTTCTATCAAATATTTTAGTGATCTACTTAAAACTAAAATATGTCATATGAAATATACTTCTAGAAGTAATTCATCTTTTATCCATCGACAAATTATTTATTTTAACTCGTAAAAGAAACACCATTAAAGGTACATACGAACCGAGCATCGGTGGAGCGTGGATTCCCAGTAACACATGTAAACCACTTCTACTAGATTCTTATATGACTTAAATAAATTCGACATGCCAAGGGATAAACTGAATAGATCACTCGATCAGCCATAAAAGACCTTTAGACTGCTCCTTTCTTTAAATTTATGGTTGTAAATTTAACCTACATTCGTGACATACTTTACTGCCCCATTGACATACAGCTTAGAATGCCAGCAGAAAAATCCGTTCAAACATCATTTTCGGGTAAAATTAAACAATGCCTTTTGGTAATTCTCTTAGTTATACTACTTGAAACTATATGCTGGCATTTGGTTGGTTTTTGTGACAAAGAATTGACTTTGTATGCATCTTTAATGTGAATTTGTTTTATGACAGCTTTTAATCAATTTAGGAGAGTATTTTGGGCTGATTGGTACCGATGGAGAACGCTGGAAATCACAACGGAAGTTCGCATTGACGACTCTGAGAGATTTTGGTTTCGGAAAGANCATTTGAAAACAGGGCGTTTTCTATCAAATATTTTAGTGATCTACTTAAAACTAAAATATGTCATATGAAATATACTTCTAGAAGTAATTCATCTTTTATCCATCGACAAATTATTTATTTTAACTCGTAAAAGAAACACCATTAAAGGTACATACGAACCGAGCATCGGTGGAGCGTGGATTCCCAGTAACACATGTAAACCACTTCTACTAGATTCTTATATGACTTAAATAAATTCGACATGCCAAGGGATAAACTGAATAGATCACTCGATCAGCCATAAAAGACCTTTAGACTGCTCCTTTCTTTAAATTTATGGTTGTAAATTTAACCTACATTCGTGACATACTTTACTGCCCCATTGACATACAGCTTAGAATGCCAGCAGAAAAATCCGTTCAAACATCATTTTCGGGTAAAATTAAACAATGCCTTTTGGTAATTCTCTTAGTTATACTACTTGAAACTATATGCTGGCATTTGGTTGGTTTTTGTGACAAAGAATTGACTTTGTATGCATCTTTAATGTGAATTTGTTTTATGACAGCTTTTAATCAATTTAGGAGAGTATTTTGGGCTGATTGGTACCGATGGAGAACGCTGGAAATCACAACGGAAGTTCGCATTGACGACTCTGAGAGATTTTGGTTTCGGAAAGATGTCACTTGGAGACAAAATTCAAGAAGAAGTCGACGCTTTGATTGACGAGATTCTGCAGAGAGACGGAGCGGCGATAGACCTCAAATTCCTCCTCGTGCCCGCCGTCTCCAACATCATTCATTCCATTGTGTTTGGATACAGGTGTGTTACAGATGCATTAAAAAACTGTAGAAAATGTGGAATCAGACAATTATTAATGAAATTTAGACACTTGTGTGTATTCATTTTCTTTTTAAAAGTCATGCAGATGAAATATCTGTAATATAAAATCGAATTAAAAGTTTTCAAAAAAAGGAGATTTACGAAAGAACAAAGTGAATGAGCCATATTTCATAACGTTAATATATTATGTATCGGCTCGTATACAGAGTTAAAATTTAATATGGAGTATTTCAATTAATAAGGCATGTGTAGGTAATTAAATCAGTCGTCGCATTCTTGCATGTCAGGTATGAGAATTATTCCACCACAAAATGTAAGTAACTTTCCCCCCTTTTGCAGGAACCAGTTCAACGATCAAGAGTTTCAAACGTTTTTCAAGGCTCTAGATGAAATGTTTAAAGCGTCTGCGTATGTATTACATAGTTCCATAGCTATATTAATGAGAGTAAGATAGCGAAAGCGAGCGAGCGACGAAACGAGCGATTGTTTTTTATTTTGTTTTGTTTTTGTTGTTGTTTGTTTGTTTGTTTTGCTTTACAAACGTTTCGCTTAAAGAGGTCAACGCCCTTAATATGCACTATTTTTAATTAATTCTTAAGGAAAGCTGGTATCGTGAATTCATTCCCTTGGCTGCGCTTTCTTCCTGGAGACATGTTTGGCTTCCATACCATGTTAAGCAATTTGAAGAAAACTAGACAGTATATTCAGAAAAAGGTGCATGCCCACATGGAGTCGTATAATCCAAGCGATCATAAATGCTATGTTGACGTCTTTATTGAGGCAATGAAGTCTGAAGAAGGGAGAGGAGAACAGGCAAATTTTTGCGGTAGGCTAGACGTGTTGATCCGCGACGCCTCCTTCAGTACTAAGATAGTTATTATCACATTTTCAATACCAAATTACCGATATGGCATACTCATTTTAAAAGACCTAGAAGCTAAAGTTTCTGTTAGGCCGAGCTTGGGACCGTTGGTAAACGAATTTCGGCCCACTTTCACAAATGTGTCACAAAAGAAAAAAAGCTGCTTTATTTAAAGTTCGTGAACACAAGTGTATCAGCCTGTTGTTGACCATCAATATGGCCAAAGCCCCAACTTAGAAGGGTGACAGTAGGGTAAAAATGTTCTCCAAAAATGTCGCAAGCCCGTTGAAACAGGAGCTCTAGCCTTAAAAAGAAATACGAAGTATTAAATCAGGGGTATTGTGCGTCCAATGGACTCTTTACTTATAGTTCACCTAAGAATTTGAATGAAGAATATATCAGAAAATAGAAAATAGTCGAATAGTCGAGGAAGTAAATGAAAGTAAATGAATAAGAATTTCTGTTTGCAGAAAACCAACTCTTAGCGTCGGTAATAGATTTGTTCGTAGCTGGCACGGAGACAACATCAACAACCCTGCAGTGGGCCCTATTACTGCTCCTTGTACACGGAGACGTTCAGGAGAAGGCAGGTTTTATGAGATTAGCATAATATTTAAGGATTATTTAAGGATTGTGCTCGCACATCTTATAGGCGAGATCAAAAATGGACCTTGATTATACATACATTATGTACATGTAGATGAAATTGTTATTGTTACTCAACTGGTGCAAAAGCAATACATTCTATAAACAAAACGCCCACTTTCACTGCATATAACAGGCATCAAACGCATCAAATTAGGTATACTGTATGTTTTGAGGAAAATCTATTGGATGACGCTATTAAGATAAACAGTTCTGCATGTTGACATTTTCAAAATAAAAAAAAATCGGGTTATTTAAAATTATTAAATGTTGCGATCTATGAAACGCAGGTCCACGAAGAATTGGACAGCGAAATCGGGTCTCGCCGTATTACGCTGAGTGATCGCAGTAAGTTGCCGTACGTTCAAGCAACTTTATTGGAGATTCAGCGCTTTGCTTGTGTCACCCCAGTGGCAGTGGCCCATCGCACTTGCGAAGAGACAGAGCTGATGGTAAGAAAGTGAACTGAAAACATACAAAATAACACACAAAACATTACCTGTGGATTTTATTTTGCTTACATGAAGCGTCTTCGTTATTTTATTGCGCTGCTAACCTGTTGGCAAACGGCAACAGAGGGAAAAAAGGTCCCTTTAAGTTATAATTTCTGTTGTTCATTCCTCGTAATTTATTTGGTATCATTATGTTGTTGGATCAAAATATGACCTACATGTACTTTTTAATCAGTATACTAGATTGGAATGACCAGATATGTGTCATGTATCTTATATTTTCAGTTTAATTTTATAGACAATGTTATTTATCGCAGTGCATTTTATTTATTTCGTCTGACAGGGTTACACTATTCCTGCCAATTCCATGGTTTTTGCTAATCTGTTCACGATATTTCGAGACCCAACGCTGTGGAGAGACCCAGAGCTGTTTGATCCATCACGATTTATAGATGATAGTGGGGAATGTGTGAAACCGGAATATTTGATGCCGTTTTCTATTGGTAAGTTTCAAAGCTGTATGACAGACG